TTTAATTTAATTATAAAAATTAGTTGGTGGGCTCGCCCTCCGGGCCGAGCCTAGTTTGTCACATTTAACTGTCAGCATTTTATATCAGCATATAATATGTTTTTATATTTATCCACACAAAATTGTTCTTATAGTTACATCTTGATTACAATACATCTATATTTTTTACAGTTGTCTTTCAATCGACTCTTTGTGGTCTGTGCATTTGTGACATATATAAGAGAGAAAGAGTTGGAAAATATTTGACTTCGTACGTTTAATATTCTATCAAACACTTTATAGTTGAAGTTGAATAGGATAATATCAAAAGATCATTCATTAGTTTAATTATATAATAATAAATATTATTAATAGGCTTAAGAATGTTATTACCAATGTTACTTGAAATTGGAAAATCCATCATTTCATTTCATGGAGAATATACACAACCTTCTATGCATGTTTCTCACTACTTTTAGTATGAAAAATTGTCAAATCTATTAATAATATTTGTTATTATGTCTATTGGGTGGAAAAATATTTAATATTTCAAAATTCAAACTTTTTAAATTTAAATTTTTAACTTGATAGGTGAGATGATTCAATGCACCAGAGATCTTTCTAGTTATGCTTGCCAAATGTGTCTTGATGATGCAATTAATGAAATTCTACATTGTTGTTTTGGAAAAAACGGAGCCAGAGTTGGGAGCGGAAGCTACAATTTTCGATTTGAAATATACCCATTCTTCAAAATGTAAATACTCCAATCTTATGGATTGAGCTTGATAGACTGACCTCATTCCAATAAGATAAACCTACTATTATTAAATGCATTAATAAAATAAATTATGTTATTTTCACCAAATTAATAAAAAAGTGTACATATATATTGGGAGGGAATGGCCTAACCATCATCACACACACGAAATAAATCAATATATATATATATAATTAAATTCTTTTATTTTTTTATTTAAATTCTTTTATTTTCATTGTACATATTTTTTTATATTTGTAACACATTTATAATGAACAAATATGAGTTGAAGCAAAAAGTATTTTGCTAAATTAAATGTTTGGTGAATTGAATTGAATTGCATTTAATATAATCGAATATTTTTGTATTAATTAGACATATTTATGAAAGATTTAATTTTTTTCTCTTTTAATTTATATTTTTTATATTTTTTAATATTGGTTATACGTATATGTTTAAAACGTTTATGTTAAAAAAATACTTGTATGGAAATGTTTTTCTCTTTTTATATTACTTTATAAAGTTAAAATTTTAATTTATTTAAGGTATAAATATATCATTTCTAATTTTTTTCATTTAAATTTCAAATTTAAATTATTTTTTATCAACTATACATATTTTTTTATAAATTTTAAATAATTTTTTGTTTAATCTATAATTTATTATATTAAATTTAATTTTATTATATATATTTTTTCCACTACAGAAATATTAATGCAGAATTCTTTTCCCATCTATCAAGTTAAAAATTCAAATTTAAAAAGTTTAAATTTTGAAATATTAAATATTTTCCCACCCAATAGACATAATAACAAATATTATTAATAGATTTAACAATTTCCCATACTAAGAGTAGTGGGAAACATGCATAGAAGGTTGTGTATATTCTCCATGAAATGATTGGTTTTTCATTTTCAAGTAACATTGATAATGCACCTTCCACCTTTCAATAGAATAATTAAAAACCTTACAATTCCAATATAGAAATGATAGTGGGACATTAATTTGATGTCTGCCACTAACACTTTAATTTCAAAATTTAATTTACTTAAAACTTAATTTTTAGTTATTTATTTATTTTCAAAATTAGCAAGCAAGTGAGAACACACAGGAGATAGAAGATTAAGCGTCTGAATGATTTGAAGGTTATAAGAAAATATGAAATGATGAGTTTTCCATTTTCAAGTAACATTAGTAAAGAACCTTCCATCTTCCAATACAACAATTAAATACCTTACAGGTTCCAATGTAAAAATGATAGTGTGTCATTAATTAGATGTCTCCCACTAATTTCTTATTTTCGATTTTCGATTTAATTAAAAATTTATTATGTAATTTTTTTAAAATTGACATTCAAGTGTGAACACAAAGTTGAAATTGCATGAGAGATATTAAACCCTTTTTCCCACCTATATCAACTTCAAATTTGGATTTTAAAAAAGAAGTAGGATATTAATACACTTGTTTGCCACTAATTAATGCTAAGCTTTTTTCGCACTAACTATTTAGTTTAAATATTTTAAATTTCAAATTAAAATAAAATGTTTTTCATTTCAAATGTTAAACGTTTTCCATTTTATCATTATGAACATTGGCAACTCCCATCTTTATGAGGATTCCATTCACATATCATTCATCTTAGGATTAATGATTTCTCATTTTTATTCATCGAATTGGCAACTCATTATTAGCATCAGCAATTACAACAATTACACAGTAAATGACTTATTCCTAATAGGTATATTAATTACTATTATTTTCTTTAACTGTTAAAAGACTCCTCGTAATATAATTACTTTGTGTTCTGAAAATGTCTACGGTGACCTTTTAAATTTTCCACGCAATCAGAATTATAATAGGAATTCCTTGTAATTTTCAAGACATTCAGGTTTGCACAATTTCAAAAGTTATTTTCTTTTATTATGAGATGTTTTTTGAATTTTAATATTTTATTTACATTTAAAGCATATTAATTTTTGGAAAAATTTATCGAAATAAGTTTTTAATATTATTTAATTTTGCGAAAGAAAAAAAAGAAAATAAAAAGGATAAACAAAGGATACATCATAAAAGTCATACAAAAAATAAAGGAAATTCATTTTTTTTTGGATATACAAAAGATATTAGTAATTATGTTCGGTGAAGAGAAAAATAGATAAATAAATAAATGAAAGGATATATAATAATATATCCTTTTGATTATTATAAAGTCACAATTGCATGGTGCACATACAAATAAAAGAAAAAAAAAATGGGAAGCTGCAAAATCGAAAAGCCAAAAGAGGGTAACCCATATCTTCTTCCTCCACCTAATATACGCACAAACTGTTCTTCTTCTTTTTAACCCTAATTTCATTGATGATATTGGTTTCATGGTAGATTGCTTGCTTTCACCGTTATAAAGCCTTGATCTTTTTTCTTTTCCACCATTATGCATTTTTTGCATTTTCCTCACTGATACCCCTGAAACATAAGCATCAATAGAGAAAGAACTATATAAAAAAAAATCCCTAATGCTAATAGCTAGCCACCTACAACCAATCTATTACGTGAACCATTAAAGGTAGCTCTTTAGGACTAACAAAATAATAGGTCAATGAAAATGGATGAAAAAAAGAAGCAAGGAAAGCAAGCCATGTAAAGGGAAATTAAAAATGAGATAGATGGAGTAATAAATGAAGAAGAGAGACCTTTGTTCTCAAAGGGTATTGCTGGAGTTGTTTCAAGTAATTTTTCAGTCTGATCCCTTTTTCGCTAAAGATCTCATCTTGCTTCCTCTTTGACTGTAAAGAGGTAACGGGGATCCGTGACTAATGTTCAAGAAAATGAGAAATAGAATGAGAGTGGATGAGGGGAAAGGAAATGATGGGTTTGGGTGAAGAATCAGAGTTGAGAAAGGTGTTGTGAGGGAAAAATAAAGATGCCATTTTGAAAATCTGGTATTTATAAGAATAATTGAGAGAGGGGAGGAACTAAAAAATTTTGTTTAGTTAGTATAATTTTCAATATCATTAATAGACTTTTTATCTTCCAATAATTTTCAATTAAAAACCTTACAATTCTAATGTAGAAATGATAGTGGGGCATTAATTACATGTCTCCCACTAATTCTTTAATTTCGAATTTTGATTTATTTTATTATTGTTTATTTAATATTAATTTTTGATTAAAAAAAATTACAAAAAGAAGAAACTTTTCAAACATCTCTCAAGTGTGAACACATTGGTGAAATTGAAAGAGGAAGTGACACATCATCAAACTTTCCAATGTTGTTTATTCCCTTAGTATATATAATGATTTTTGTTCCATATGAGAAAAATAAAGCCCAAATATAAAATAATATGTGCTATGTCTTTTAATAAATTTGACATACATATTTACAAAGTTCTCTTTTCATACTTTTAAGTAAGTTTTTTTTCTAATAAACATTGTAAAGGAGAAAAATTCTAGGTGCCAAGAATTTTATTTCTGAGTGATTATACAAATTTACTAATAAAAAGACCTTCATTCCTAAATTATCAATAGAAAATAATTAGAAAATGGCCAATTATTACTAAAAACACGTAAACTTTTTTTTGTGAAGTTATCATAGGAAAACATTTCCAAGGCACGTTTACAATGATACCTATTTATTAACCACAATCATTTAAATCCTTGATAATTGCTATTTATCTCACACTCTTCCCAGAGACTTGGGATTCCCATGGAATCAAAAGTCACATTTTAGAACCCTAGCAAAACCGTGACCCTAAAAGCTTGTTTTGGAGTTAGTTTTAAGAGAAAAAGGAAAGGAAGAGAAGAATTTTATTAATTCTTTCCCTTGTTGGTGAGTTTAAAAAAAATGAGGGGAAAGATTTGAAAATTTTCACAAAACACACCCAAACCCTTCTTGTTCTTAAAATTAAAGTTCCTCAACTTGAGGGGTTTTAACTCTCAAATAAGGGAAGGAAATACCCTTCATTTTCCTTCCCTTCTTTCCCCTCCCTCTCCATTGAATTCCTTTCTTTCTCTTCTCCTCCAAACTCCCAAACAAAGCCTAAGTAAACACTCCATACTCCAAAGGATAAAAACCCTCCATAGTCTTGGTTTCCCAATAGCATGCTTTAAGTGCTCTACTATTTCTCCTACAAAGGCATGTTCCTCGGTTGTCCCTACAACCTCCTATTTGCTTTGTTTCAAGAACCTCCCTAATAGTTTGTCTCATTAATAAAGATTAAAAAAGGTAAAATGGGAAATGGAGAAAGAAGTATTACAGATATCATCCATTAAGTTTAATTTCAAGTTCTTACACTAAAAAGAGGCAATAGATGTTAGATGAACAATGTCAGAATCTTGTATGGTTAAGACAACTCGAAACCTTACATCATAAAACAACGAACACCAACAAAAAGAGATCATTCTATTACCAATAAATAACATGAAGTGAGATGTTGCTTAGGTTTATGTATGTTTGATTACAGTACCCATCACACCAAGCATCTCCTCATTCTTGGGCGGTGTTATTTGCAACTCCAAAGTCACCTATTAAAGAAATGAGGAACGAGGAATTAAATAACAGTGTCTAGAGAAGAGAAAAAAATACAGTGGCTCAAAACCATGATCAGAAACGTGTGAAATTTTTTCAACTCCTTTGTATGAACGTAGAAGGAAGAAAAATCTGATTTACAGCTCATAACATACATGAACTAAAGGTTTCCATTCGTTTATGATGTTCTGAATAATGGTTAAAACAAATTAGTGAACATATAAGCAGCATCTTGCTTCTGAGAACTTTCTTCAACCACTGCATTGTCTATTTTGACTTAATTTGATCATTTATAAATGAATAAATTCTAAAGTTACAACAGATCAATGTTCCAGAGTACATAAGATGAGCTAAAAAATTTGAGCTAAAAAATTTGATAAAAGGAAATAACGTACATCCCTGAGATCAATGTCCACTAATCACTTAGCTTGTACATCCTACTAAATGAATACAAAGCATATGTAGTTTAGCCAAAATAACTGAGACTAGGATTGATTTGGGAAAAGGAAAGTTAGATTCCTTGGTTCAATTTATAATAATAACTTGCTTGTACTTCCTACAAAATGAGAACAAAGCATATGTACTTTAGCCAACGTTAGGGCGTCCCTTGAAATTAAATATGCTCACCTCTTTGAAGATGTTGCTATATGAAGTTTGCACAAACCCCTACACCAAATCCATTAGCTAAGTCAATTTTAGAGAATGAATAACCATTTGAAGCTAGAGAGAGAGAGAGAGACATTCTTAATACTAGAGTACATGAAATCAATCTATGAAATGGGCATGTTTCTAAAATGAATGTTCTTATAACAAAATGTTTCATAGAAAAGTAAGGTGAGTATAATTTATTTATTTTTTTACAATAACATACAATAATGTGATTAATTCAATGATTTTAGGTCAAAGCCTTTGAAACGAAAGCGTGAGATAGGTAATACTTAAGAGGAAGATTATCATATTATCTTTGACATGCAGACTCAAATGCAACGCATATGTCCCTTGAACGGTATCCAATAACAAAATTTTGTCGACAAAAGCACAACATGGTGTGACAATAACTCAGAATAAGTTGAATGCAGAGTGGTAAGACACATCATGCCTTTAATATGAAAGGAAAGCTAGAGAAGCAGCAGACAAACCAATTTTTTGAACAGATTAAGGGATGCTCCATTTGACTCTCCAATTTTAACGCGAAATATATTGATCCTTAACTTCTCAATAGCAAAGGCAATCATCATCAGAACAGACTCCTTTCCAAGTCCTTTTCCCCGGCTATGCTAGCAAAGACGAAGTGATAAAAAGTGAGAATGAGGATATTTAGTACTTGCTATCAAGGACCAAATCAATCCAAAACCTTTGACATTTAGATGCAGACCCAGGAAAGGCTTTTATCCATGGCGCTTGCATAATCATGTGAACTAAAAGTTAGAGCAAGGATGCTAGAGTACACAAAACAATACAAACATTTGAAAAGTTTGTTCACGGTCTGAAATGTTTTATATACTCAATTCATCACAGGGAAAATGAAAGAATTGAAGTGTCATTTAAAATTGCAATGGTAACACCTAATTGCACCAGTAAAAAAAAGGGTAGACGTAAGCAAGAAAAAGAGAGAAAAGCTTACATCTAATTGAGAACAAATGCAAATTTTAAGCATTTCTTTAGATGTTTTGGAGATTCAAATTTACAAACAGAACACAAGGTTCACATGAACAGAGAGATCAAGGAACTAAATGTTGTACTCTACCTGATTCAAAAAGGACTGTACTCAAATAATTTTCATCTATATTTTCCTGTTCTTTCCACCTCAGACTTTTGTTTGGGTATCTATTAAGTCATTGACCAAAGATTATAAATAGATAGTGCTCCTATACAATCTCAACTTACTTTAATTGGCTCTGGTCCTAATTTCTAATTCTCTCCCCAACAACTGCACAGCTGCAACCTCATCCATTCAATTTTCTTTTTAACAAAGAAAGTGTTGGAAAATAAGTAAATATTGTAAATATGCTAATAATATCTTGTAATTAGGATACTCAGCTGAGGTCCCACATAGGTAAATTATTACATTCAGTGTATATAATAGAGACCTAGATTTCATCATATGTCTCATGTTTCCTCGTTATTCAACATGAAGGAAATTCAGTTGCTATAAGATAAATGATCTATAAAAAAACACAACAGGTAAACAAGTTATGACAATGGCAATACATGAACCATTCAACAACTAGTTTATGACATGAAAGTCAAAGTAGGTACCTCATTGGTTCAGCTATCATTATTTCAATCTCTGCCATGTGAGGATTATCCAACTCATTCATGAATATATTTACATCACCAACCATTGCTGCAAATAGCATATATTAGTCTCCAATCTTACCAAATCATTTGACAGCTTGAAAATAACCCACATTCGCATAAGCCTACTTAAATAAATAGCTTCCTGATAGGAAAGCAACTTCAGAAGGCTTGAAGCCCAAAACAGATAAATGGTCTGGCCCAATTTTAGTGTATCAACAAAGAGCTAAGGCAAGAGAGAGAAAGGAGGGTGCTGAGCTGGAATGAGTTAGTTTTGGCATTGTAGTGCTTGATTTTGGTTAAGGAGAAAGAGTATGGCATAATCAGTTACTATGTTGCTTTATATGAGTAGTGGTAGTGTCACTTGAGGTTTTTAGGCAGAACTTACATTTTTATTTCTACCGGGGTAGAAACGGGCTGAGGAGTGTTTCTCCAAAGTAGGGAGCATTGTTGCTCATATTTTCCAGATAGGTGAGTTAAATCCTATCACTTACAATCGTCACCAACCATCAAGAGTGTACAAGAATCAGAACAAGTAGAATAATCAGAAACAATTCTACCTCTCCCAAATATATACCACAAATCCACAATAGATAATATTCAATGGGAATCATTATGGTTTGACAACAAAATGAAATATGATTGAATAGTAAAGGTAACTCAGTAAGTTCTAGAAGAATTCCAAGAGACAAGTTAAAGGCCACCAATCATACACACAATGAACTTCAAAACAAAATTTTGAAGGGCTTCCTACAGAAGACAAGTGATTCTAACTTTTCTAAAAAATGTTCACCGTATGGTCATATCACTGAAATCTTGCACAAATAATACATTCACTGGATACATTTTTATGAAAAAGAATATAAAAGTTGAAACCAAAAATAAAGGGGGGGAATGTCCAACCACTGCTATTAAGACTCATATCCATTAATGAAAGTAAAATAGACCTGAACAGCCAGTTTCATCCGTTAATCATATTTTAACAAAACCAACAGAATAGCCATTTATAAACATACAAATGACCACAAACAGTGAATCCTCTGTTACCTCTGCTCTATATATGCAAAGCAAAATCTAGTTTACAAAATCTGAACTACACAAAAAAGAAATGACAGAATAAAGTATCATCCAATTGAGCGATAAAAATTAGAATATAAACTTTGGAAATTTAATTGTGAGAAACATCATTATCCCAAAAAGCTATAAAGGTAAGACCTTATTCTTTTCCTTATGAGAATTTAAAAAAATAATAATAATAATAAATAAATAAATAAAGAGTGCACAAAAGTCAGAAACAGAAAATTCTGTCTTGTGAGGTAGAAAAGGCCACTGACCTTCAACATGGGGTTGCCCATGTAAGAAATCTCCAACAACTAAGTCCTTATCCAATACAATAAACGTCTCCTCTGAAAAAATCACACATAACTCCTCAGTACACACACTAGAATTAGTGAAAATGCTTATAAAGATAGATAACCATATTCAATTTTCAAATATAAAATGAAATAAAATAATAAAGTGTGAATCTTTGAAATATAGAGAAAGTTAAGTAGAGAACTGTTAGGATCTTGGGACCAAGAGAGTTGCATGTGGTACTCTTGTTCAACGGTGAGGGGTTCAGAGCCAGTGGCTTCAAGGAGTGAAGGGTTTTGCATCCAACTATGATATTTGGGAACATGGGATTCCATGTATGGGACCAATATCACACTCTCTCCTTCTAAACTCACACTCCCTTTGCTTCTCTCCGCCATCTCTCACTCCAACTGCAGAGAAGTTCCAAATCAAAAGGGAAGCACCTGGATCGCCATGGCCGAGGCAAAATTTAAAAAAGATACCGGAAAAAGGAAATGGTTACGCAATGTTTTTGTTTTATTTATTTATTAATTTGAACGGAAAATACTTTTAAAATAAATTTTTTTTGTTTTATAGATAGGATATTATGCCTATATTTTTTTGGGTAAAATATTTTTTCAGTCAACGGAGATAAAGTTATCAAGGTGTTTTTGTAATTTTAATTTATTGCAGGGCTATATTAATCTTTATTATTATAATTTTTTAATCTTACAATATCAAAACGACATCGTTTTGGACTCTGAAGATAACTTTATCTCCATTGATCGAAGAAATACTTTTTCTTATTTTTTTATGTCTATTCTACCTCTTTTTATTTCAAAGATCAGAATCGTAAGAGGAAAGAGAAAAGATGAATGTTAATTGAATTTATGATATAATGATATTAAATATAAATAAATAGAGTAGGCCTGAAAATAAAAGATAAAATATCATATTTCTTAGTTTTATTTATTTATTTAAAAATAATTTTAATGCACTATATTTTATTATAATTTTTTTAAAAGCTAAAATGATTTTGCATTTGAATGTTATATTGAATAACGCTTTTAATTAAAAAAAGTAAATCTTTATAAAGTTATTAAAAAAATATCTGAAAGCAAACCATGAAAATAAATTTTGGGGTTGTGATTATAATAATAATAATAATAATAATAGGGGAAAGATTCGTTTACAAATTTTTTTTCAAATTTATGCAAATTACACTATATTTTTCCGGGAGAAGATAGTGTGAATAGTGTTCTCCCGGGAGAAAATAATGTAGTTTGTAAGAGTTTGTAAACAAAAAATTTAAATATAACGTGGCTAATAATAATAATAGTCTTTTTTTTTGGTGAAATAATAATAGTCTTTATTAAAGCAAGATATGGTGGCGATAGTGGTAATGGAGGGTGTGGCCAAATTAGGTCAAATTTAAATTTCGAAAAAATAATTTGACTTTTAATTTTTTTTATAAGCCTGAAATTTTAACTTTAAAAATATAGGATTTTAACTTTTTTGACATTTTAAAAAAAAATTGACATCCAAACATTTATTTAGAGTAAGAAATATATTTTTTCAAAATAAATTTTTAGAGGGGAAAAAAACTCATTAAAACAGATTATAACTTACTTTACAATACAGGATCATACGTTACATTTGGGTAGATGTAAGATTTAATCCCAAATCTTTCAAAGATCAGCTAAAACCTTTAATGTTAATGTTAATTTTAATTATAGTATGATAATAACATGAGTTTATTTTTTACGCACTATTGATATTTTTTTATGGGGCTAATTGACTCTGTTGTTATAGGATAGTGTTTTTTCTTCTACAAAGCCATAAAAAACTGAGCTGCTATTTTTTTTTACAAGTGACATGCCCTTATATATGTTGTCTCTTCAATAGCAGACAAATACTCCCTTACAACAAAAGAGTCGATTAGCCTTTCTCAGGCGTGAAACTGGGTTGGGCCAGTCTACAAGGGCCTACGGCTCGACCTACATCAGGCCAAACCGACCTAGTATATTTTGTATAATAGGTCGGACTTGGGCTTTAAAAAAGTTTGTTTAATAAAAAGGTCGTAGGCCCACTTTCAAAAGGTCGGGCCTATAAACCTACAGGTCGGCCTATATTGTACTATTTATTTTAAATAAAATAAAATAGAGTAAGTATGCCTTGAAGAAAAAATAAAAGATATAAATCTAATCAATTGCAATTATTTATAACTTAATTATATTCGATTATATTTTAATAGAAATCTTACTTTATTTCTTATATAGGAGGAATCAACATCTCAACATGTTAGATTGTGTATATGAATATATTAAAAGATTTTTGGGTGAGGTTGTACTTACTACAAGCATTATGATGTGTTTGTTGGATTCATGTAGTTATTCTAATTTACATAGTATGGATTTGTTTGTTAAATCTGATGAAATATATGTTATTTAGTTTAGGCATTTTGCTTTTGATATGCTTTTGAAAATGACTTAAATGCATATTGTATGAGTTTTGTTATGATTCATGATTCTGTTTGGACGTTGAAATTATGATTTTTGGTGTAGCAACATAATTTGAGTACTTTGTAAAGTTGATTTGTCGTTCTACTTGGAAGTTAAAAATTAACAGACTAACGGGCCAAGCCAGGTCATTTATTTTTTTATAAACGGGTCAAACCAGGCTAACAGTTAGACTCATACTAGGCTTGAGTCAGGCCAAATTAAAATTTTTTGACGTAGGCTTGGGCTTTTCGGGGCAAAGCATGTCCCAGCCCAGCCCACTTTCACCCCTAGCCCTTCTTTATGTTAGGTTAATATTCATAACATGACTTTAATTTTGTCACAATATAATAAGATCTAAATTTTCAAATCCGTTTTTAAGAAATTTGGTGGCAAACGCATTGTACAAAAACTCTACTCGAATCTTTAAAACGAGTGAATATAATGTAATCCGGGACCAATGCACCCCTTGAGAGAGGGGAAGGAGGAGAGAGAAGAGAGAGAGGAAGGGGGAAGAGAGAGAAGGGGACTAGGGAATAAATTTCCCTTTAAAACAATCACAAATATTTGTCATATTAATCCTTTTCAGAGATTAATGTATCTGATGCTTAAGGATTAATATAACTGACAATTGTAGCCCGAAGTATACTTTTTGCACTATCAGATACTAATGTGTTTACCATCAAACTGTGTAGGGATGAAATTTTGTGTTAGCTCTAACATCTATTTGCAAACAGAGATGTTTTTGGGTCAATATTTTTCTTTTACATAAATGCTGATATTTTGGTCGTTGAAAGATAAGATTCATATTAGGTCTCAAGTATGGTTGACATCAATTTACCTCCGAAAGTATAAAAAAATGATATTTTTTTAAGGGATTTATTATTCTCATATTGCTGCAACAATTAAAGACAATATTTTATTTTACTTCTTCAAATTTCTCTCTCTTCCTTTATTTCATTAAAATTTGTTTTTACTTGTTGCAACAACTAGTGACAATATTTTATTTTACTTTTTTTTTTTTTTTTGGAAAAACTATAGGAAAAGAAAGACAAGAAAAAATTACTTGCAAAGTCTCGGCCAAGCTACTCCAATAGAGTCCCTGCTTCGCCTTTCACAACAACCTAAAGGAGGTGAGGCAAACTTCTGCAAGGACCATTTATACATGTAAGCAAAAGAAGTCATCCAATCTGCAACTTCGTTTCCGTCCATATGAATGTGGGAGATCATTATCCTCTAATCCTATGCCAGCATCTTCTTTATTCGCTGGACCAAAATAGAAGCCGGGTGACGGGGGTTGCACCCATCTTTAAGTAGCTGCTGAGCTACTAGGGAATCTCCTTCAAGCCAAACAAGAGCCCTCATTCCAAGCAATCTCAAGCCCGAGAAGACAACACCACAACTCAGCCATTAGAATAGTACCACTGCCAAGATTCTTGCAGAAGCCTACTAGCCACCTGCCATATGAGTTTCTAATTACTGCTCTACACGCAGAAGCCTCCCCATTGTTGATACAAGAACCATCCACATTTAGTTTAACCTAGGGTTCCAGAGGGAAAACTCAAGATACAAGTCTCTCCCTCTTCAGACTAGGCTCAAGAATAGCTTCTTCCAATACGTTTGTTGTCCAAATAGCCTCTTCTCCATATCTCAGAGCCGCTCTATAAGTGTTGTAAGCAATCTCTGTCGTCCCCCTGAAAGAATATCCTATTCCTAGCATGCCAAATGAACCAGGAGATAATCCCAAAGAACAATAACCAATGTGACAAGGCAGACCAAGACCGATCATTAGAGATGTTTGTTATCATCCACTGATGCAAGTCTAGGGAAATGAAGTCTGCCCACGCTTCTTGCTTCACTACAAACTTCCACACCTGCAGCGCCCCATCACAATCTCTGATAGCATGAAAGGTGGATTCGAGAAAACAATGGCACACCTAACACATGTCAATAAAAATTATGGTGATTTGTAAATTTGTAACTTAGGAAATTTTGTGATGAGATTTCAATACTTTGTGGAATTGATAGGTTGGATGATGGTGTGGTTGAGTTGTGGAGCATTGGTATGAAGTAATTATAGGATTATGTGATGAGAGTAAGTGTTGAATTGAATTAAAAATCTTGGAGTATACCTCCATGAGGAATTCAGACCATAGGAGAAAATGAGGAAAACGATGTGAAAATATGGTATAATCAATGGTTGATGCCTTAGTGCATGAATGGTTAAATGGTGAGTTAGTTCAAGGATTAAAATGATTGAGATGGTTGAAGTAATGAAAAATAGCCTTTAGGCCTAAGTGGTTATGTTTGTTATTATTATTGTGAAATTGATTGATTTTATGCAAGTGTTGATGATCATGATTATTTGATCAATATAGGTTACCTCGCACGGACTCGATAGAGGCGGATTAAGCTTGGAGCTTACGTGGGAGAGCATTACATGTGGAGTTAAGGTAAACTCTTGGTACTGGGGTTTATCCCCTTGTGTGTTCCGCCACACCTAGTGGAAGGTGGTGGTTGGATTGTGTGCTCTTTGACATTGTGTCAAATGGTATGTTCATGCATTATTGCTTTGATAGTGTGACATGCTTGGAGCATGTTGTGTGACATATCTGTGATCTCTAACCAGTAGATGTGTGTGGTTTGGACTTCCGCTAGAGATATCCCTTTGGGGGATTCCGGTCGAGTTTGCCGTGGGGCCGACTCTGGGAGCGGTACCAGGATGATCCAAAAGTGGGACTTTCGCTGGATAGGTCTCTTGAGGAGTTCCAGTTGGGTTTTGTCACGGGGTCGTCTCATCCATGGGAGAGGCACCAGGAAGCTTCCCGGGAGTTATATGATGGGGTCTTTGAACGAAATCCTTGTGGGGATGTTCTTGGATGTGAGCCCAGTGTGTGATGTGATTTTGTATGTTATGCATTTTATATGATGATCATTGTATGCACATTGAGTGAGCCATGGGATGGAGTGATCCTCTAGTACCCTTGGTTTACTGA